TACATTGGCTTCATCTTTGGCAGTTATTGAAACGATACACCAAAGCTTCTTCTCTAATCGGTCCCTGGATGAGGTAGATGTCAAAGAGATTCTTGCATGTGAGCAGGCAAAGATATTAAAAGGGTGCAAAGTGGTTTTTAGTAGGATCTTTCATGTTGGGTTCACAAACCCTCACCTTCACCCACTTTGGAAAACAGCTGAGAAATTTGGTGCAATTTGCACCAACCAGATTGATGATGAGGTCACTCATGTTGTGGCTATTTCTCTTGGTACTGATAAGGTTAACTGGGCTATGTCTACCGGTAGATATGTGGTCCATCCTGGATGGTTGAAAGCCTCAACCCTGTTATACCGGCGAGCGAATGAGAGGGACTTTCCAATTATGCCCCCTCCACCATCATCATAACAATCTATTATTCTTTTATTTATTTTTGTGTAATGAATGAAATTTTTCACGACATACAAATATGTTTTGAGTTTGATAAAAAATATAATAAGAAAAATCTAAATTTGCGTAAGACTGGAATGATTTCTGAGCCTCAAGAATCATGCTACATCATGTGCTGACTTTGCATGGTGGCTTCCATAGAAGCATAGGCTAGGCCTCTCTTCAACAGCAAGGGACTTGTTTAGATCCATTTCCAGCCTACTGGTGGTAAACTGGACCCTCTAAACACGATAAGATGGTTTAGTATGCATTTCCTAAGCTATAAAAGACAGAAAATGCTAAGAGAACTTTCCTGCTGCTCAAAGGCGATCTCATTCCAAATGCTCATAAGAGTAGCAAATGACATGGTGGGTCTAATAGAGGGAATGCTCACCAAAAATCCAAAGGGATTTCATGTGGGATTTATCTCTTCCTTTCCTAGTGATCTATTGTGCCATTGTGAAATCATGAAGAGGCCAAGAGCATTATTCATCAAAATAGAAAAAGATGCACATCAAGAATGAAGGCAAAACCCAATCATTGAGGTCATTGACATTGGTCTGAAATTTATAAGTACACATGCTAAAAATTGGCAATCGACTGTTTATAGTGTAGCAACATTTATGTAGAGAACACGTCGCATAAATTATAGTTAATGAAATTACGATGCTCTCATGAACTTCCTGCAGAAATGCATGGAACGGAAACCAAATACCCTTCAACAAGGGTAATTTTTTTCCTTTATCTAATTAGGTTTTTAAGACAAGTAAAACATGAAGATATAACATCCATGAATTACATGACTCAAAATTTTGCCTAAATCAACCTTTGACTCCAATTATGCAGAGAAACAGGGCAACTGAGAACAAAACATCAAGCATAAAGTAACGTAAAACAGGAATTGCATACATTAATAAGCCCATCTGATTGGCACTGAGGCCCTTTTGAAAATCTTTCTTCCAGGACATCAGTTTTAACCTTTTCCTCCAAGGTTTTCCCTTCAGATGGCAAGTTATGATGACTCTGCTTCTTAATGAAACCTGAGGAACTTAAACAGCACCATTCTTAATCAGAAATAAACACTTAATTAGAGAGATCTGAGGCAACAAAAAAAGAAGAAAGGAAATGTCGATGGAATTCCTAGCTAGCATACTAGTACATTTCTACTAAATAGAAACAGGTTACCTGAATCAAATACATCATGCAAACTATCTCAGTCAGAGAGAAAAATATTAGTTTCAATAGAACTTTTATGACACATACAATGAATAAACAAGGACATATAACATAATAGTCATGGATCCTCGGTACCTATCTCTAATTTTGGACAGCCAAGAATACCTTTTCCAAAATACGAAGTGGCATCTTTATACTTTTATTTACTTTACATGCCTTTATAGCAATATATAAGGCCAAACTTTTGAAAATAAGTCAAACACAAGGGCAAGATAGTCATATTCGGAGCTGAAAGGTGATTTACATGAAAGGATGGAGCTTTTAAGCCATTTGAGAAATAGCCTTTTGCTAATTTACCCCAAAAGTAATTATAGAACACAGATGAGCTGCTCGATGCAAATGCCTTTCCATTAAGCAGAATCAATAGCCAAAGGGGAGTGATGTCGAATTGTTTCTTGTTCTGGAAAAATCACGTACCTTTATACTTGCATTTGCCTATGCATGCCTCCGACTAATTAGAGTTACCCATAAACAAGCCAGAAGACTATATACCCATGAATATCAAAGTGTTCCCAAGTAAGTATACTAGTGGTTATCTTTCATGAATCATTAAATGGAGATAAAATGAACCTCGATGCCTAACAGGGACTAACAGACGACAAGGAGAAAAGAAAGAGCAAAGGAGTAAAGAACGAAGAAAACCACCATATAATTACCAAACATCAAATATTTATTTATTTATAAGTTACCCAGGAAAGAGTTGTTTTTGAAAATAAAATTACCTGGACAGGAGCAACTGAAAGCTTCAGGGTCATAGTGAAGAATTTCCGAAATTAGGGTCCCAGGTTTCCCAGTGAGACTAGAAATAGAATTGGCATCATCTCAGAAAGATCTGCAAGCATAGATCAATTTAAGGCACAAGCTTGTGTAGCAAGTTAGAAACATGGCACACTTATTTTTTCAATTGTAGTAATATGACACACATTAACCTTTCAATTTAGAAAAACGCGGCCAAGAAAATAGCCAGGCCCAGATACTATGTACTCCATCAATCTGTCATCAGCGCACAGCTCGAAAGGCACATTTAACAGTTGTTCCTTGCATGTTTTAACAGATTTTAACCAGTACAACGTCAATACTCGTGTTGTTTTTAGTCAGCAAAAATGGAGATTACACTACAGTAAGGCCTTGAATCAACAAATAGCTCCAATAATAGGAAATTTGATAACCATGTTTCATGTACCTCTCAAAATTCCCTTACTTTCATTGGAAAAAAAGAAAGAAAGAAAAGGAAAAAAGAAAAAACAACAGTACCCAGATCTAGTCAAAGTAAAAAATATAGAGCAATGATTACAGAAGTGTCTTTTGTTTTCTTCTTCTTTTTCTTTAAGTTTCAAAAAATCTCTTCAACTAGAAATCGTACCTCATCCAGCTATTCAACTCGATTCTCCGTGGACACTTTATTGTCTCAGTGTTTCAGACTCAGGCACGTCAACCCGGACTCGCCTGGGTAACTCAGACTTGGCAGGATACAGCCTATGTCCCCCCCAAAACTTGGGTTATATATAAGTCATTTATAATTAATTATAAAGGATTTGTAATTAATTTAATCTTTGACTAAATCAATTATAATTGACTCAAAATTAGTTTTCTATGTACTTTTACAGTTTTATGATGTTTTTTGTTTTTCTAATTTTTCTAAGATGATAATGATTTTTAACCAGTTTTTCTTTTTTCCTTTTTAAAACAAATTTTTCATCATCTGATCGCCTACTGGAGCCACCCCTAAGTTCCATCAGACATACTCATGCTTCCATCCATACCGTCAAAATATATTGTGATAATAAATTTCTTAAAGACTAATGAAGATTATAACAGCACCCCTTAGGCTTCAACTTGCTCGTAGACATATCGGCTTCGACAAGGGAGGTCAAGAGTTCAAACCTTTGAAGTATGTACCCAAAATCCCCAACGAGCAGACTTAGCCTTTTTAAAATGAATATAATAAGTACAAATAATGCTACAACAGATAAAAAGGGCATACTAAGCACTATTACTGCTACTACCGATGATGACAGACCTGCCAAAAAGTGGATATTGACAATGGTGAAAATGATACCGTTCCTGATACTAATAGTAGAAATTACAGCGAAATTTTTGTTACTATTACTAGTATCAAATCTTTCGTATTTAAACAAATGCTATGGAGCACTTACAGGTAACTAACATCAGTGTCTTTGAGGAGAGCTGCAATCCTACTAGCTTGTGCAAGTATCTCAGGACGATCAATGAATTGAAAGTTTTGATTGTCGAAAAGTGAGAGATCTGAGCTGAGAGCTCCGCAAAAAACTGGAAGGCTGGGCAAGGGCAAGCAAGGAGCAATCTCTGTATATGGAGTGCTGGATAATCTATAGGCCTTTTCGTGGCTGCAATCATTGCGTTTTTCATGACTTGAGCTCATCATGAAAAACAAAAACTAATCACCAGAAAATTACACTGTCAATGCCCACATTAGGGCTCATCTCTTCAGAACTACACCATTAATGGATAGGCATAGTGGTGTTCACCTGAATTTCTCAGGTAAATGGCCGGAATCAATGCTCATAGGCTCGAAAAATACATGAAGGACTATAATTAAGATCAGAACCGGAAAATCACACAGTGATCGATGGAGCTAGAATGAAATCACTGAAAACTCGTGAAGAACAGTGACACAAACTGTAATGGATGATTTAGGGCAAAGAAAATGCAATTACGGGAAAAAATAGGACTAACGCCTATTAAATAGCCTGATGAAGGCTTGTAAAAATCCAAGAATTCTAAGTTGCAGAGAAATGGTGGGTAAAAGAGGAGAGATAAAATTAGGTCAATACCTTTACTTGCCTTTACAGGCAAATGCGGAATGCGTTCGCGGGTGCTGAGATATAGTGGTGGGAAAATTACTATTGTACCCTTATTATTTATCTGATTGTCTTAAAGACCCCGGGTAGGGAGCAGTTTTTTTGGGGGGAAAATATTTAGTTTAAATTATGTGAAAAAAACTCAGGAATTTGAGCCATCCGATTTATTCATAACCATCCGATTTACTGAAAATTAGGACAGCGTCTTTAAAGGCATCGAATTCATATAC